AGCTAGACAAGAGTCAGTCGTGAGCCAATAAAAGTGGGGCTCCTCTGTGGTCCCTGCTTTAGCTCCTGCCCCAGCTTCCCTCAATGACGCACCGGGGCCCGGAAGTGTAAGCCAAACAAACTCTCAAATCTAGCAGTGTATCTCCAAGATCCCTACATCTACTCACCCCTCCCCTGACCAGGCCTCGCTGTCCTAAGTACAGGGCCTGAGCCAGGTTGGCTCCTGAGGTCCCCAGGACACAGCCAGCTGTCTGTCACCTGTTTCCTGATGTGTTCAGGTCTAGGAGCAACACTCCCCTAGGGTCTGGGCCTCAGGTGACAGCGGCATCCCCTCCTTCTCCTACTAGGGCCCACTGGGATGCGGGAGAATTTGGTTGCATTTTCTTTCTTCTTGCACAGCACTGAGTAATTTCAGCAGTGTGGGGCTAGGGAAGCTGCTCAGTGGGTAGAGTGCTTTGCCTAGCGTGCACAAGGCCCAGGGTTAGACTCTCAGCCCCACATGAGCCAGGCAGAGTGGCCCAGAGACGCAGAGGAAACTTAGCCGGACAGTGAGTGAAGGGAGCCAGTGTGGAAAGCCTCAGCCACTTGGATTCTGCTCATGATTTTAGAAAAGACAAAACTAGGAAGATTATTAGAAAATAAAATAAAATCCAAGAGTTTAGGGGCCTTGGGGGAAGGGAGAGTCGGACAAGCAGTGCAGAGAGGAAAGGATCTTGGGACAGTGGCAATGCCAGGTGACCAGGCAGCAGGGATCCTTCACTCTACATTGTCCCAACATTCGGGATGAGAGAAGCCCCACTGTCAACCATGGGCTTCGAGGCAAAAACTTTAGTTGGTTTAGGGCTGAGATGAAGTTCCACACTGCCTGGAAGAATTGAGGGGGTGGGGTGGGGACACGCACACTCCAGTCTTCATTCCATTTTGCTAGGAATGGAAAGTGCATGTAGATAGATAGACAGACAGACAAATAGATAGATGATAGGTAGGTAGGTAGATAGATAGATAGATAGATAGATAGATAGATAGATAGATAGATAGATAGATAGGTAGATAGGTAGATAGGTAGGTAGATAGATAGATAGATAGATAGATAGATAGATAGATAGATAGATAGATAGATAGATAGATAGATCAATAGACAGATAGAAAAGTGACATACATACATTGACAGATGATAGATAATAGATACAGACAATTGATAAAGTAGATAGTTGATAGATGATAGATTGTATAACCATATAGTATAATGTATCATACATTACATACGTGTGTCTTAAGGCTACTGGGGACTAGAAACTTCTTATCTACTCCACTCATGGTCTGGTGGCCTGGGCTCTCTGAGAAACCCCAACGCTGGTCCCTGGGGAGCAGTGCCTGCCGTTAGAAGCCTGTCCCAGAAGCAGAAGGGCCTCCTGGGGAGTTGAACCTGTCCCCCTTATCACCCAGGGCCTCCCTGGAGGACAGCTGTGCCTCTAGGACTTTAAACAGCTGTTGTAGTCCCTGCCCCAGCCTTGGACCTGTGGGCCTTTCCTCCTGCAGCCACAGGGGACCCTGTGTGGGACATCTTTCCTCAGGGCCTCCCCCCACCCCATACCCTGACCTCCAGAGGTTGGAAGCTGGCTCCTGACCTCTCAGGGCACAGACTCAAGACGCCCCATGGGGAAGCCCGAGTGTTGTGGGCGTTCCCTTCCGTTTTCCAATGTGCACAGTTAGTCACACTTCCCTTTTCTGACCAGGCCACCCAGTGACACGGTAGTGCCTCTGCTGGGCTGAATCACGCCCCGTTCATTCTTAGACACTTCCTGTGCTGGGCACCCTAGCATGCCCCACCTCCTACCCCCACCCCCTGGAACGTGATGGAACATTTATCCCCTCTTTGCTACTCTGCCAGGCAGGGCAGGGCTAAAATGCCCATACGTCCCTGAACCTTGAATTTCACCAGCCATCCCTCCTCACTTCCGGGGTCCTCAGCTCAGGAAATGTCCAGAGGCCACCCTGGACTTTCTGACAAAGGAAGAGAAACAGCTAAGCGTTTGGCTGGGAGGCTGGGAAGCCCCATACCCTCCCCCTGGTCATTCCCTAGCAGGCATCCATGCATAAGCTCCCACGGCCCAAAGTCAAGGCTAAGAGCAGTCAGGAGGGCCAGTTGCCAAGGCAACAGGTCTGCAGAAACACTGGCAGCTCTCAACGCTCAATTATTCAAGACCTCATTACACAGTCTGCCCCTCCATTCCTTCTCCACTCCCCGGAGGACCACATGGAAGCCAGTCAGCCCTTCCAAGGTGGAGTCTTCCTTCCATTCCTGCCTCAGAGACCAATTAGGGTTTGCAACTTTCTGGTTATAGGGGTGACAGGTACTCCAACCTTGAGAACCGAGGCAGAGGACCCAGTTAACCCACCAAGGTGGCAACACCAGCAGAAGCAGCAGGCAGAGGGAGGTGCTGGTGAGGTTCTGGGTGCATTTAAACTGGGCCAGATTGGCCTTCGGTCTTCTGGACACAACGTGACCTCATACAAAGCAAAGCACTTAGGACTGGAAACCGAGGCCAGCTCATTACTTGTCTTGTGGTATCCCTCATGTTCCAACAGTACAAGCACCACCTCAGAAAAGCTGTAACAGGGGCAGGGGCGGCAGCTCAGTCAGCAAAGTGCTGGCATGAGGACCAGAATTCCATGCCCGGCACTGATGATCTTTAAAAAGTCAAAAGCCATGCCTTTAATCCTAGCACTCGGGAGGCAGAGCCAGGAGGATCTCTGTGAGTTCGAGGCCAGCCTGGGCTACCAAGTGAGCTCCAGGAAAGGCGCAAAGCTAC